CTCCCGAGTAGATGGGACTACAGGCACATGCCACCTTGCCTGGCTAATTTTTGTATTTTTAGTAGAGACAGGGTTTCAGCATGTTGGCCAGAATGGTCTCGATCTCTTGACCTCAGGTGATCTGCCCACCTAGGCCTCCCAAAGTACTGGAATTACAGGCATGATCCACTGCCCTCGGCCCTATTTGGTACATTTAAAAGACTCCTTTCATTATACCAAAGCTGCTGCTGATTCAGTAAGTACAGAATGATTTGTGACTTCAATAGCAACACCAAAAACAGGTTATTCTTCAGTCTCTTAGGATGAAAGTTAGTGCAAATGATACATGACTTTAAGGAGAAGGCTGAGTCATGGCCAACACCTGAGGACTTTATTTTCTATGTTAAAAATTTTTTTTTGCTGTTCTTAAGTCTAATAAATTTAAATCTTAAGAAGCTGAAATCGGCGGAGCGTGGTGGCTCATGCCTGTAATCCAAGCACTTTTGAGGCCAAGGCGGGTGGGATAACCTGAGGTCAGGAGTTCAAGACTAGCCTGACCAACATGGTGAAACCCAGTCTTTATTAAAAAATAATAATGAATAAAAAATAAAATAAAATTTAAAAAGAAGCTGTAATCATATTTGAAAAGGCTATAGCCAGCTGGACATGGCGGCTCATGCCTGTAATCCCAGCACTTTGGGACACCGAGGTGGGCAGATCACCTGAGGTCAGGAGTTCGAGACCAGCCTGGTTAACATAGTGAAGCCCCATCTCTACTAAAAATACAAAAATTAGCCCGGCATGGTGGCAGGCGCCTCTATTCCAGCTACTTAGGAGGCTGAGGCAGGAGAACTGCTTGAACCCAGGAGGCAGAGGTTGTAGTGAGCCGAGATCATGCCATTGCACTCCAGCCTGGGCAACAAGAGCAAAACTGTGTCTCAAAAAAAAAAAAAGAAAAGGCTATAGCCACTCACATTTCATTTTTGTACATTTTGCTGGACACTGTTAGTGCTGGAATAGTGACTACAGCTAGCAGGCAGGAAACAAAGGAGGATTCACATCTTATATAAAAAATTATAGACTTTCAGGTTAAAGGGTTTCTAAAAGCCATTTAGACCAGTACAATTTCACGGGCTTACAGAAGTTCCAAAAAAAAAAAGGCAAGGAAGATCAAACATACAAGCATTATTCATTCATTCATTTATTGAGACAAGGTCTCGCTCTGTTGCTCAGACTGGAATGCCATAGTTTGATCACAGCGCACAGCAACCTGGAACTCCTGGCCTCAAGCGATCCTCCTGCCTTGGCCTCCCAAAGTGTTGGGATTACATGCTTGAACCACCGTATGCAGCTTTTTATTTTTTTTAAGACAAAGTCTTGCTCTCTCATCCAGGCTGGAGTGCAGTGGCACAATCTCAGCTCACGGCAACCTCTGCCTCCCAGGTTTTGTTTTGTTTTTGTTTTTTTTAAAGACGGGGTTTCACCCTGTTGGTCAGGCTGGTCTTGAACTCCCGGCCTCAGGTGATCCGCCCACCTTGGCCTCCAAAGTGCCTGGATTACAGGAGTGAGCCACCACGCCCGGCCTGCCTCCCAGGTTTAAGCAATTCTGCCTCAGCCTCCCAGGTAGCTGGGATTACAGGCACAGGTCACCATACCCAACTAATTTTTTGTATTTTTAGTAGAGACAGGGTTTTATCATGTTGGCAGGCTGGTCTTGAACTCCTGACCTCAGGTGATCTACTTGCCTCGGCCTCCCAAAGTGCTGGGATTCCAGGCATGAGCCACTGACCTGGCTTCAATTTTTAACCAAGCAAGAAAACATAAAAAACAAAACAACCATCTACCATCAGAACCATTTTATAAAATAGCATTTTTTTTTTTTGAGATGGAGTTTTGTTCTTGTTGTCCAGGCTGGATTGCAATGGCGTGATCTCGGCTCACTGCAACCTCTACTTCCCAGCTTCAAGTGATTCTCCTGCCTCAGCCTACCCAGTAGCTGGGATTACAGGTGCCTATCACCATGCCTGCCTAATTTTTTTGTATTTTTAGTAGAGGCAGGGTTTCACCATGTTGGCCAGGCTGGTCTTGAACTACTGGCCTCAAGTGATCTGCCCAATTTGGCCTCCCAAAGTGCTGGGATTACAAGCGTGAGCCGCTTCGCCGGGCAAAAGAGCATTTTAATGACACATGTCAGAAGACTAAAGCTCAGAAAAAAATACAATATGAAATCAGATTAAATGAAAGATGTATTGCTTACTTTTCTCACATCCTCAAGGAAAACTTTGTTAGCTTCTTGCACACAGACCTTTGGGAATCACTTGCCCACCCTTGCTCCGCCCTCCCTTCATTGAGCATTTTTATCACTACACCAAAATATCAATCTAAATGCATACTTCATTCCCTTGTGGAGAATTCCTCACGCTGAGGAATCCATTAAACTTTGGATGACTGTGATAGAAAATTAGCAGAATAGTAGTGATCTCTGGAAAACTCAAGATGCTTAAACTTGGCTTTTGTTTTGTTTTGTTTTGTTTTTGAGATGGAGTTTTGTTTTTGTTGCCCAGGGACCAGGCTGGAGTATAACGGCATGATCTCGGCTCACCACAACCTCTGCTTCTCGGGTTCAAGCGATTCTCCTGCCTTAGCCGCCCCCCCTCCCCCGCCGCCGAGTAGCTGAGATTACAGGCATGTGCCACCACACTCAGCTAATTTTTGTATTTTTAGTAGAGACAGTTTCTACATGTTGGTCAGGCTGGTCCTGAACTCCAGACCTCAGGTGATCCACCTGCCTAGGCTTCCCAAAGTGCTGGGATTACAGGTGTGAGCCACCAAGCATGGCCATATTTGGCTTTTTTTTTCTAATTTTACATCAGAGTTTAACAGCAGATTTTAACTTAGTCAAAACATGCTTTCAAGTCACCAAAGGCGAATGATGTCTAATAGTGCTGATTTGGGAGTTGGGCACCCCAGGTGTTGGTTGTGCTTTAAAACTTCATGCTAAATCTTAGGGGAAGTCTCTTCCCCTCTCTCTTCAGCTAAGATCTCTTCCAAGATGAACTCTATTACTAATTACCTGATTAGCTTTCCAAGTTGCAGTTAAAGTACTTCACATTTTTTTCCATTTCTTTTTTTTTTAAAGACGGGGTTTCACCATATTGGTCAGGCTGGTCTTGAACTCCTGACCTCAGGTGATCCATCCGCCTCAGCCTCCCAAAGTGCTAGGATTACAGGTGTAAGCCACCTCGACCAGCTCCATTTCTATTTAATAATTTTTTTTTTTTTGAGACAGGGTCTCTCTGTTGCCCAGGTTGAAAGTGCAGTGGCCATAATCTATGCTCACCACAACCTCTGCCCCCCGGGTTCAAGTGATTGTCAGTCTCCGGAGAAGCTGGGGTTACAAGTGTGTGCCACCACACATGGCTGATTTTTGTATTTTTAGTAGAGATGGGGTTTCACCATGTTGTCCAGTTAGTCTTGAACTCTGACCTCAGGTGATCCATCCACCTCGGCCTCCCAAAGTGCTGGGATTACAGGCGTGAGCCACCATGCCTGGCCATCAAATTTTGTAAAACAATGTGTGGTCAAGATTTCATTCTCTGATCGATTTTTAGTAAAAAAGAAAAAAATTACTGTGTAGTTTGTTTTGAGACCAGTCTTACTCGTCGCCCAAGCTGGAGTGTAGAGGCATGATCTTGGCTCACTGCAACCTCCACCACCCAGGTTCAAGCGATTCTCCTCTCTCAACCTCCCGAGTTGCTAGGACTACAGGTGCCTGCCACCACGCCCAGCTAATTTTTGTATTTTTAGTAGAGATGGGGTTGCACCATGTTGGCCAGGATAGTCTTGATCTCTTGACCTCGTGATACCCCCTCCCCCCGCCTCGGCTTCCCAACGTGCTGCGATTACAGGCGTGAGCCACCGTTCCCCTGGCTACCGTGTGGTTTTAAGTGTTGTTATTATGTTTTGTAATAGTTACCTCTGCTGCGTGTTCAGGTTAATATTGAGGTTTTCGATATGACCAACATATGATTCTTTTTTTTTTTTTTTTTTTTTTTTTTGGGATTGGGAGGAGGGCCAGAACAGTTTTTTCACTCTTGTTAATTTTCTGTTGATTCCATCTATCACTAATCTTCATTATGGCAAGATACCCGGGTTTCTTATGAAGATCAAATGTGGTAGTGGGGCAACAATGCAAAGGCATAGGAAGACAGGAGGATTCCGGCTTCTTTTTTCCCCTCCTGAGGAGGGAGGGTCTCTAACACTCCGTAGCAGAGAAGACAGTTCTATTTATGAAGGGTAATTAGCTAGGCTTTGCTACAACCGAGAGCCCTGAACGATTCCATCAGCCCAATATGCGGGCTGCTTTTCTCTTCTCCACCAGAGACTACAGACGCTTTCCAAACAGAAACTTGATTGCAATATGCCGGTCGGGGGAGCGGCCAGAAGAAAGATCAATGGTTAAAAACCGCCTGAAACAGCCCGGGCGCGGTGGCTCACACCCATAATCCCAGCACTTTGGGAGGCAGAGGCGGGTGGATCACGAAGTCAAGAGATCGAGACCATCCTGGTCAAAACGGTGAAACCCTGTCTCAACTAAAAATACCAAAAAAATTAGCTGGGCATGGTGGCGCCCGCCTGTAGTCCCAGCTACTCGGTAGGCTGAGGCAGGAGAATTGCTTGAACCCAGGGGGTGGAGGTTGCGGTGAGCCAAGATCGCGCCATTGCACTCCAGCCTCGGTAACAAGGGTCAAACTCCGTCTCAAAAAAAAAAACACAAAAAAACAAAAAAAAAACTGCCTGAAACAAAGAGCAAAGGTCAATACCCAACTCCTAAGGAGGCCTGAAGCTTTCATCTGTTACGAAACGGGAAGGTGACTGCTCCCTGACATCGGGGCCTGGGGCTTTCCAGATACCGGGCGGGTCCACGGTGAGTAACAAGCAGCACCGGCTGAGCCGCCGACCGGAAGTGGAAGAGAGCCTGGGGCGGGGTGAGGACCGGCCGCGGCACGCCTGCGCAGTCAGCAGGAGTTACAGTGCTCATGCGCAGCTGGGCGGTGACGGGGTGACGCTTGGAGCGTGGGCCGCGACTCTCACGGATCCGGTTCCGCCCTCCCTCTGGCTGCCGATCCTCCGGAGCGAGCACCCGAGATCCCTTTCCCAGAGTGCTCTGCGCCGTGAAGAAGCGGCTCCCGGGGACTGGGGGCATTTTGTGTTGGCTGGAGCTGGAGTAACAAGATGGCGTCGTCGGCGGAGTGACAGGGGTCCCCTCTGGGCCGGAGCCAGCGGCAGTGCTGGCAGTGGTATAGACGCCCTAGCTCACCGCGCCCCTTTTCCTGCCCGCGACGTCGCCGCTCAAGCGAGGCATCGGCGGCCGCCGAGAAACAAGTGGCCCAGCCTGGTAGCCGCGAGAAGCCCTTCACAAACTGCGGCCTGGCAAAAAGAAACCTGACTGAGCGGCGGTGATCAGGTTCCCCTCGGCTGATTCTGGACCCCGAACGCCGGTAAAGGCCTCTGTGTTCCGTTTCCTGCCGCCTTCCTCCGTAGCCTTGCCCGGTGGAGGAGCTCGAGAGGTCTCCGTCTTCCCCTCAGAGGTGTCGGGGCTTGGCCCCAGCCTCCATCTTCGTCTCTCAGGATGGCGAGCAGCAGCGGCTCCAAGGCCGAATTCATTGTCGGAGGGAAATACAAACTGGTACGGAAGATCGGGTCTGGCTCCTTCGGGGACATCTATCTGGCGATCAACATCACCAATGGCGAGGTAATCACCTGGGATAGGGTTCACGATAACGTTGGGCATTTCCCCATCCCCCGCCCCCACCAACGCGCACCCCTAAAGTGCTCGGGCCTCTCCCCACCGCACGCACTCGTCAGGGAGTCCAGAGAGCTAGTTTTCTTGGCTTTTGAACCTCCCCCCGCTCTCTTTCCCTAAAAGGATCAAGAACCCGATAGAAAGGTTGGGGAAGGTTCCCAGCTTGTTAAACACGTCCCATAAATGTCCCTTAGTCGAACCGTTTCGACTAACCGTTTTTTTAACCGTTTTTTAAGGTGGAAAGGGCAAAAATCCTGTTTCTGTGATTCCCATGCTATTATTTTATTTTTAATTCTGCTGGCCTCTTACTCCAATTAGAACAGTTTCCGATCGCCTAGTTCCTTAAAAACCTCTCATTATGTTCAGAGGTTGCCTCTTTTTTTCTGGATGAATCATTTTCCTGCACTTTAGAGGAGGTACGGATTTCGTCACTGCCCCCTGAAGAGGCCTTTGAGGCTAGTTGCCTCGTTTTATAGTTACAGAGAGCTTTCTCTTTCCAGTCTTTCGCTTTTTCTCTGTAGTCGCGACTTGGAGTTTTGCTAATGTCTCTCCCTCCTTTCCTAAGTGACATTGAATCCGTAGGGATGTTGATGCCATCATCCCTCTTTCCCCTGCAGGAAGTGGCAGTGAAGCTAGAATCTCAGAAGGCCAGGCATCCCCAGTTGCTGTACGAGAGCAAGCTCTATAAGATTCTTCAAGGTGGGGTTGGCATCCCCCACATACGGTAAGACCCCTGTGCATATAGGCGATCCGCTGAGGGAAGCACGGAATGGGGAAGTGGGTAGAGGCAGGTAAGGAGACCAGCTGAATCCAGGTCTTGGGGTTTCAGTTACCTGGGTTCCCTACAGCAAGTGGCTTCCTGTAAGTCAGTCATCGCAATCACTAAGTAAATTTCAGTTTGCCAACTTAGTTTAAAATTTCATTGTATTACGTTGTGCCCCATTTCGCTTCCGTCATTTCTCCCACCTCCCGAGGCTTTCATTTGCAGTAAAGCGTGCAGGTCATCTTTGATCCCTACGCGGAAGGTTTGGCTTCTGCCTTTTTACGGCGGCACGTCTGATGTTCTTAGGTTTGTCCTGTGAAGTGGATTCGAAGGTGCCGAAGCGACACGGCAGTGTCATTTCGGGTTGCTATTAGAGCTGGCTTGGGAAATGGCTGCTCTTTTGTTGTGTTTTTGTTCCAACATGTCTTCCTCCTCCGCTTAGAAAATGGCGGAACGACGTGACTCAACCCCATATTCCTGCCCTTTTCTCAGCTTGGGTTCACAAATTATGCTTCCTTGATACCTCCTTTAGCAGCCCCAAGTGGATTAAACCTTTGAAAAAGTCAAGAATAAAGCTGCAGGAGGCAGTAGGGTTCGAGGAAGGAAATGGCATAGTGACAATGTTTGTGATCTCTGCAGCAGATAGGATACGAAATTGTTGAATTATACTATGTAAAATCCTTTTAAAAGTGTTGATTACTCTTTCCTTTAGTGAATGGTCATGTTTGTCACATTTCAGTCGAAACTAAATTTGTATAGGTAGTGGCAAAGGCAGTTTGAGCACCACCAACTATGTTAAAATTTACTCAAATCAGTTGTATTAAAAGAAAGCTTAATCACTTAGCCACACTTTGATAAGTAATTTTAACCTGTTGAGTTTATCAGTAAATCTTAACATCAGAGAAATTGTGGCCTTTTTTGGTGTGGAATATTGGTGAGTACAAATAGTGGTAATGAGGATACAAGGTGACGAGATAGAAACACATTGTTCTGTCAACTCTGGAGGGTTTTAGAGTAATGTTTTGACTTTGGGGATTAAAGAGCCTCTTCATGGAATAGTGACTAAAATACAGTTTAAAACCCAGCTGTTTTCCAGCAGTAATTAAAAAAAAAATTTGCAAAAATTTTCAGAATAGTTGAGAATGGTATTTACTGTTTCCTGGAGCCTCTTTTTTGTTTGTTTGGTTTTGTTTTGAGATGGAGTTTTCGCTTTTGCCACCTAGGTTGAAGTGCAATCACACGATCTCTGCTCACTGCAACCTGCCCCTCCCGGGTTCAAGCGATTCTTGTGCCTCAGCCTCCTGAGTAGCTGGGACTACAGGCTCGTGCCACCACGCCCAGCTAATTTTTTGTATTTCTAGTAGAGACGGGGTTTCACCATCTTAGCCAGATGGTCTCCGTCTCCTGACCTCGTGATCCGCCCTCTCGGCCTCCCAAAGTGCTGGGATTACAGGCGTGAGCCACGGCGCCCGGCCTAATTTTTTTTTTTTTTTTTTTTTTGAGACGTAGTTTCGCTCTTGTTACCCAGGCTGGAGTGCAATGGCGCAATCTCGGCTCACCGCAGTCTCCGCCTCCTGGGTTCAGGCAATTCTCCTGCCTCAGCCTCCTGAGTAGCTGGGATTACAGGCACGCGCCACCATGCCCAGCTGATTTTTTGTATTTTTAGTAGAGACGGGGTTTCACCATGTTGACCAGGATGGTCTCGATCTCTTGACCTCGTGATCCACCCGCCTCGGCCTCCCAAAGTGCTGGGATTACAGGCGTGAGCCACCGCGCCCGGCCCAATTTTTGTATTTTTAGTAGAAAAGGGGTTTCACCATGTTGGCCTCGCTGGTCTGGAACTCCTTACCTCAGGTCATTCTCCCACCTCAGCCTCCAAAAATGCTGGGATTATGGGTGTGAGCCACCAATCCTGGCTTTTTTTCTTTTAAGACTGAGTCATACTCTGGTGCCCAGGCTGGAGTGCAGTAGCACCGTCTCGGCCTACTGCAACGTTCCACCTCCCGGGTTCAAGCGATCCTCCTGCCTCAGCCTCCTAAGTATCTGGAATTACAGGCCTGCGCCACCACACCCAGCTAATTTTTGTATGTTTAGTAGAGACAAGGTTTCGCCATGTTGGCCGGGGTGGTCTTGAACTCCCGACATCAGGTGGTCTACTGGAATGGCCTCCCACAGTGCTGGGATTATAGGCGTGAGGCACTGTGCCAGGCTTGTAGCCCCCTTTTCTATTTCAGGGTTTTTGTTTGTTTTTTTTTTTCCAGATCTTGAATTAAGGACTGGATTGCATAGTTCTTACATGGAAACAACACAAATAAAACTATCCTTAAAAAAAGTTCCAAAGCTGTTAGTTTTTATTTTCTATTAAATTTTTTTTTTTTTTTTTTTTTTTTATTAAGGGACAGGGTTTCATCGTATTGGTCAGGCTGGTCTTGAACTCCTGACCTCAGGTGATCCACCCGCCTCAGCCTCCCAAAGTGCTGGGATTACAGGCATGAGCCACCGTGCCCAGCCTGATTTGAGGTTTTTAAATGGTTCTTGTCTTAAAAAAAATCCTGTGTGGGAAAATAAGGCCCCTTACACCCACTGATGGCTTTCTGTCACTAGTTTTTCCTAGAATTTCTTACAGATGGAATCATATGGTATGAGGTCATTTGTGTCTGGCACGTTTCACTTAGCATAATGTTTTTGAGATTATTCGCAAATCAGGTTAAATTTAATATATTTGAAATCATTTTCAGAAAGCATTAAGCATTGCCATTTTCAGTGCTAAACCCAAGTTAAATACATGTCCTTTTATCTGGTAGCTTTTATTTAAGACCTGATACAGACTCATAAGGGCAATGAGTAATGTACTGAATAAGCACATGAATAAATTAACTTCTGAGCTGAATAATAATAATAGGAGCCTATTATAAGATGGTGAGTGCAAGAGAGTTCTGGTAGTTTTAAGCTGTCTGTGGTTGGGGCTAAACAGATTAACCTGGCTTTCAAATTAAGGCTTCCTGAGAGAGGAGATGGGATTTCAGGATCTGGCTCTGAGGAAGAAAGCTTGGTGAACTGGTTTGGGAAGGCATCCAAGAATAGAGTGTGGCTCCTGGGTGTAGTCTCTAAGGAGAATACAGTAATTGGATGAGGGTGTGGAAAGGGTAAATTTGCTTTAGGAGTGGTAGGGTCAGGTACACGGAAACAAAAGTGGTTTGTTGGTTTTAAAGTGAAATGTGAAGACAAAGCAAAAAACCTGTGTTTCCATTGAAGCAAAAAGGATATTTATATAAACATTCTTTATTTGGATAACAACATCTTTCCATCTCCTTCATTTTGCTTGCCACTATTTCTATATCACCCATACGTGATACATACTTAATAAATCTTTACTTGGTAAGTATTGAATTAAGTTGATTGTTTACTCTTAGCTAGATAAAAGTTATGTATTATCCATTGTTTTTGAAGTATTGTCACTAATTTAAAATTTAGATTTTGCTGCCTTTACCCTTCATATACAAATTTGTTCAATCCCTTCCCTATGTTTTCTGTTACAAAACTCTCTGTAGGATTTGCTTTGCTTTTTTTATTTTTTATTTTTTTGAGACAGTGTTTCACTCTTGTCACCCAGGCTAGAGTGCAATGGTGCAATCTCAGCACACCACAATCTCTGCCTCCTGGGTTCAAGTAATTCTCCTGCCTCAGTCCCCCAAGTAGCTGGAATTACAGACATGTGCCACCACGTCTGGCTAATTTTGTATTTTTTTAGTAGGGACAGGGTTTCTCCATGTTGGTCAGGCTGGTCTCAAACTCCCAACCTCAGGTGATCCTCCCGTCTAGGCCTCCCAAAGTGCTGGGATTACAGGCATGAGCCACTGTGCCCGGCCGATTTGCTTTGCTTTTAAGATACTTTGGTATGTCTTACAACAGAGACTAAAAATTACCTGGGCTGTACAGATGACCTGCTTAATGAGGTCCTTCCTGTGTAATTTGAGAGACCTATTGTTAAGAAGCATAGCATCCAGAGAAAAGAGCCAGCATAAGCCAGGCGCAGTGGCTCACGCCTGTAATCCTAGCACTTTGGGAGGCAGAGGCGGGCAGATTGCCTGAGCTCAGGATTGTTCTGAGACCAGCCTGGGCAACACGTTGAAAACCCTTCTCTACTAAAATGCAAAAAAAAAAAAAAAATTAGCCATGCATGGCTGTGTGCCTCTGTTGTCCCATCTACTCAGGAGGCTGAGGCAGGAGAATTGCCTGAATCCAGGAGGTGGAGGTTGCAGTGAGCCAGGATTGCACCACTGCACTCCAGCCTGGGCGACAGAACAAGACTCCATCTCAAGAAAAAAAAAAGAGCAAGGATGAGAGAATGACATCCATTCTCTTGATATTTTAAAAAATGAAGCTTCTGATTCTAGGCGCTTCGGGAGCTGAGGCTTAAGGTGCCAGTATGGCCAAGTCCAAGAACCACACCACACACAACCAGTCCTGAAAATGGCACAGAAGTGGTGAACTCCAAGTTCCTGAGTAACATACACTTTGTCAAAGAAGCACAACAAGAAGGGCCTAAAGAAGATACAGGGCAACAATTCCAAGGCCATGATTGCACGTGCCGAGGCTTTTAAGGCCTTCGTAAAGCCCAAGGAGGTTAAGCCCAAAGGGTGTCAGCCACAAGCTCGATCCACTTGCCTACATTGCCCACCCTAAGCTTGGGAAGCATACTCGTGCCCGCATTGCCAAGGGGCTCAGGCTGTGCCGGCCAAAGGCCAAGGATCAAATCGAGGCCCAGGCTGCAGCTCCAGCTTCAATTCCAGCTCAGGCTCTAAAAGGTACCCAGGGCCTTCTCTGTAAAAGCAACAGGGTAGATATCTCTGTCTACTAGTGTGAGGACAGAAGGACTGGTGGGACCCCTCTGGACTGCTGCCTGCATGGGGCTGGGGTTCTCTTGTGCTGTTTATACAAATAAACCGGAGGCAGGAGAA